TGTGGTTTCCAAACTTCTTAAATCAGAAGCCAAAAATGAGAGTGCAGTTTGTGAGGGAACAGCAGAATGTAAGTTAAAGTGCCTGCGTATGGCCAAGTTCATATAGAGATTTCAACTATGCAAGCAATTTTATAACAGAAGATAAAAGAGCATAATAAATATTACATGTGATTCTACAAAACACAAATCAACTTGCATCCTATATAGACCCATGAAATATGCTTGTTAACCCTATGATTGGCCATATATGGTCTTTTAAAGAATTTCTATAGTCCAGATCACATCCTATCAGTTATAAAAACTACACTATGGGGTGCCTGGGTGGCTCAGTCGTTGAGCGTCTGCCTTTGGCTTGGGTCGTGGTCCCGGGGTCCTGGGATCGAGTCCCGCATCGGGCTCCCTGCTCTGCGGGAGGCCTGCTTCTCCCTCTCCCGCTCCCCCTGCTTGTGTTCCCTCTCTTGCTGTCTCTTTCTCTCTGTCAAATAAAATCTTTAAAAAAAACCCAAAAAAACTACACTATATTCTCCCAACTGATAGTAAGGGCCTACACATGGCCTTTGGCTGTTTCCTTTGTGCCTGTGAAGATAGCACACTGACACATCCAAGTTTCAGGGGGTGGCAGCAAAGCTCTGGATGAGCAGCCAGTGTCTTATCAAATTCCAATTCTTCTGCATCCAAATATTTACCAACCACTTCAAGGAGAAATCAGTAATTTAAGCCTAAGGTTTTCACAAGAGGAGGCAGGGCCCTTTGAGGGTACCACATGTGGCCATATTTCTTTATCTTACAACATGTAAGATAATAAGTTAGGACCAGACCATTCTTAAATTTGCCAGATACTTGAAAACTATCAGGATACAAAAAAATTCTTTGTTTCCAATATCTGTATTCATCATGGACTCCTGGATCCTTATTAAGGAGTTGAGCTGAACAGTAAAACCTGTCCAATGCTGATCTTGATTACAGCCAACTGGTAGCTTCCATTTAACTGGCACTTCATGAAATTTTGGATTTGAGTTCAAGGATCACATTATTTTGTTCTTCCCATGGGATGATTTTTACTTCTCTTAAAGCATGATCCTTGAAGAGATTTCTTCAGGGGTTACCTCTATCACTTGGTATACATGATGCTGGTAGATATTCTGTGACATTTCCAAGATAAACCACATCCTCTTTTCCCTACATTTAATTTTCAGCTAAGCTGGACAGATGGGAAGTGAAATTCATAACACCTATGTCATTTTTTGACCACTAATAGGAAATAAAATTTTAGTTTGCTCCACGCAGAGGTCAGATTTAATTCCTACTTCAATATGGATACATTCAATTCAAATTGTCTTAAGGGTAAGAATATACCATTGAGTAGCTACATTTCTCAGTGCTGTCTGTGAGATTCTCTTGCTCAGTAATGCTCTATGAATGTGGCTACAGGTCCCATTATCTTCACAAAACAGTTAGCTGGTGACAAAGTAATCTGAGAGCCAGTATTATTCACCCACTCCCTTTCTGAGCAATCATTTACTGCAACTCTAATATCATTAAAGGCGCGGGCGGGGGGAGGGAGCCTGTAACATGTGTGTGAAACAATTATAAAACATGGCTCTGTTGTTAGGTAGCTGATTACATAATGCAAGGGAGCATACAGTAAGAGTTAAAGCAGTGGTATAAAGTGCTAAAGAGGAGGAGAGAGATCTGACTTCAGCTGGGGTACAAATGGCGTCACAGAAGAGGCAGCACTTGAACAGAAGCAGCCTCCTTCTTTCTATCTGCCAAAGAGCAAGGACTTTTTCTATAACTACACAGGTATGCACCTAAATGACTGACATCAATGTAAAAGGTTATCACTTTACAAAAGGGAGAGAATATGAATCTCAACATTTTGTCAAGGAATAAAGAACAGCTTCTGCTTTGGGATCCTAGGGAAAGTGTGGCCCAGTAGAGGAAGATTTTGACACCCAAAATCCAATTTCAGATATTAACAGACCAATGCTTTGTTAACAAGACTGCTTTGGTTGCTTGCGATTTCCTTCTCTACTACTTACTGTGAATTGCCCAGGGGGAGTACATGTGAGGTATTTTAGTGGCTTGGATGTACTCAAGCCACTGGTACTCAAGAAGAACCCAGACTTCTCCTCTCAAAATTCAGGTGTGTGTTAAAAGATATTACTTTCCAATTTTTTAACCAAGTGCCTTGACATTATGTTTGAGTTGCACTAAATCAGCATGTTGGTAAAATTTATTTTTACATGCTCTATTTCTTATAATACATACATAAGGCTGTTCTAATTTGTGAAACCAACATGGTGAAGTTTTGAAAGTTTAATGCCATGTAGAAGTAAAATACAGTCATAGCATAAACATAGCTCAATGTACACAAAGTTGTTTTATCTTCATATCACAATCCAAAGAAGGCTCAGTGAATCCCTATATATATACTTCAAAATAGAACCACCAGTTCCTCCTAAGAGGCGCCTTTTCTTCTTAGGTAGAAATGCTGATTAAAATAGTAATATTAGCCCTTACTACGAGGACTTAGTAAGTGCCAGACACCACTGTAAGCATTTTACAATGGTTAATTTAATGTCCTCAACAGCCATCACTGTCACCAATTTACAGAGGAGAAACTGAGACACAGAGAGGTTAAGAAATCTTCCTAAAATCACACAGAAAGTAGTGGGTGCAGGATAGGAACCCAGGCTATCTACTCAGTTGCACTGAAAGGGTCTCTTCCTTCTGTACCCAATGAAACATCCTTCCTGACACATGGCTGCCACCAAACAAGGTCTTTTCTTTGAGATCGGTGAAGCTCATGTTTTCACTCCATGGCTGTGAGCATTGCGTTGTAGTGAGATTAAAAAAAAAAAATTATACATCCCACCCAAGAATATTATTCTTTTGATATAATACATAATCAAGGACATTACCTATTCCATTTGGGCCTAACACAATTAAGAATGTCACATTCTGACTAGTTATTTTCAAATCAAATATGTAAGATGAATAGTAACTAGCTTTTTAATTCCTAACTTTTCTGTGCTCTGTCTCACTGGGCAGATGATAGGAAGTGACATTTCAGGAAAGTCCTAAGAAGTTTCTACCCCATCTATAAAAAAAATTGGAGGATCGTGCCTGGAAGCTCGAGTTGGCTATTTAAAATCAGGTGAATATCTTGGAACAAGAGATGGATATGGTCTTGGGTTGAATGAAATGCCGAGTACTAAGCACTGATAAACAATTTTAAAAGAAATTAAGCATGAAAATTGCAAACATGTATCAGTGGATTCAAATTCTTAGAACAGGAATAGAAGAGTAGAGTATGGCCTCCCACTAACTAAATAATCTGGGAGATAAATGGTAATTCTTCTCATAAATAGCAAATACCCATATTCTTTTGGCTATCTTCAGGAACAGGAACCCTTCATGCTATCTCCCAGAAAATATTCATTCAGAACACTATTTATCAATAAAAGAATGTTGAAGTCATCTGAGGCTGTCAAGGAATTCCAGTGCCAAAATCATGACAGGTTTCCAATTTTCTTCAACATGCAAAGTATCATCTGGTCTCAAGGTACAAATTTAAAGTTCCTGTAGCTATGTTTTACTGAACACAGTTTCTAGCTTTAAGTCAGTTCTGGGCATTTTGATAAATTTACTGTCATGTTTCACCAAAATGCAGAATACACTAACAGCTCAAAATAAATCAGAGTCTTCTCATTTTACAGCTCCTTGGGTCAAATCTCGACAACTATGAAGTGCAGTAAGAAGAGTCCTTTTTTCCTCCCTAAAGGTGAGAGAAGCTTGGACAATCTATAGTTTAGTGGAAAATGAAAACAGTACTGACTACAATTTTTTTGTATCTTCTCAAATTCTTAGTTTGTGGAATGTTTTGAAAACTTCAAATTTCAGTGGGGGAATGGAAAATATTTTGAAATCTTGCTACTAGAATAAGCTATGAAATCATTTTTCTTGAAAGCACAGCTCTAATGTCAAATATTCTGGGGTATTCTTTCACTCTACACAGCTAGCTCTAAGTTACAGCAAACAGTAAAATAATGAGGTATTAAATATTCCTTTACTCTGTCATCATTAGTCATCTGAACTGCTGATATTGATTTTTGAAAGAATATTCCAGCAAATATACATCTAAGTTCATAACTCTTGAGAAGAAAAGAATCAGTGGTTTAATCATAAGGCTTGAAAAAAGTGTAATATTAAATTATTTCCAACAGAAAAACCCACACAGAAGGCATATACGTTTCTTTTGTTTTGGAGGGAGGGGGCAAAAAAAAAAAAAAAAACCTATCCCTGGAGCTTTGAATTTACATTCACCTTATTAAGCTTTTAAATCTGAAGAAATTAAATTCAGGAATTCCAATTTCTCTAAGCACAACAGATAAGATCTAATTAGAAGGCTACTTGTATGTGAAGAATAAATAGCATTAAGTACCTTAAAAAAAAAAGTCAACATAAACATGACATTGAAGCAAACTGGCACAGTTTGACAAGTTTTAGAACACTAGCTCACAAAATGAATATACTTTGATTCAGACAAACACAACAAATATAGCCTCTATCCAAAAATCACAGAGACAACCCTATATAATACCTATATTAAATTGTTAAAATGTTCAACACATCTAAGGATATTACAGGCCTCAAGTTGCCAGAGTCCTGATAGAAAAGTCAGCAGTGTAAAATATGCTTCACAAGGCTTGGCGTGCATGCACACACTCTGCAATGTGGGGGAGACAGAGACACCAATCACCATCGATATTGTCCTTACTTGCAGACGCACAAGTATCCTGCATGTTCCGATTCTGACTGGCACCTGGAGCGGCTCTACGTGCCAGTCATCCCAATGTACTCAGGGATGTAAACACCTTATAATTAAAAAACGTGAAGGCATCAAGGACGTTAGACAAATTTAAAACACATCCAAAGATTAATTTTTAAAGGCATTGAAGAAATAATTGATTGCAAATTCCAGTAAGAGGATGTACCTGCTCCTTCACGGAAGCTAGAATAGTGGTGGCTGTGGTCTCGGGTTCCATGCCTGGGCCAGTGGAGGCAGCTTCCCAGCGGGTCTGTGGTTGCCCCTCCTCCACCAATGAGGCCTGCTCAGGAGCGGGCATTCCTCCTGCAAACAAGCAGGCAAAGAGTTAACACTTGTTCATGGGCTCCTATGCAGGAACAGGCAGGGACTGAGGATCTGCAGATGGTTCCCAGGAAATACTATAGACTTCAACGCACAAAGATCACAACTCCTTATGGCTATTTGATTTTCAAAAGGCAACATCTAGGGTCCAAAAGTACAGCTAGTATGACTAAATACTAAAATAATAACAACAGTAGCAGTAGCACTAATAATAATGCATACTAAGAAAATGTATAAACAACATCATAGCAAAAAATGACATAAAAGTGTTGGGGAGGAGGGCTCTTAGTTAAAAATGTACTAAGGACAATAAAACTGTTAGAAGCTTGTTGAATTGTTGATTTTTCTAATCAGATAACCAATAAGTAAATATGACTATATCATGAAGCAAATAATAAATCTTCTAGACTGCTATAGGGGCCAGTTTGTAAAGTTCACATACAAGAAGACGTCTACAAATAAGCAAATGCTTTACCAGTTACAGAAAAGGCTTATGCAATAGAAAAAAAAAAAAAAGGTTTAAAACTTGGGCCTGAAAATAAACAAGTCTCCTGTATTTAAAAGAAATGGAAGGCATTAATAATTAGAACAAGGATATCTTTGGTGTAGTATTATAGCTAACATGGTTTCCTTAGAAGAATCTGATTACCAAAAATGACAAAGGCAATGGAGTTGGTGTTTAAAAAGAGGGTCTATTTCTCGGGTGCACAGCTTATGAAAGAATGAGTTCTAAAGCAAGAGACGGAGTGCCTCAACGCACCAAGAGGGATGTGTTTGCCAGACCACTGACCCGACAGGGATTTTTCATAAATTTGGAAGATTGGGAAAAGATTCCCACCTAAAATGTTGTAAATATTTTAGTAACTTGTTTAAATGGCAGTGTGTTTGCTTAAGAGCACAGTCTCTCGTACCATGAGATGAGTCCAGTGCTTGGCGTATGTAACAGGTGTTCAATACATGTCTGCTGAATAAATGAGCATATAAATGAAGGACTGGCCATCTTTCCCATGTCTCTGGCAATCATCAGGCAAACCTCACCAAGGGCTATGATACACACGAGACCTTATTTGTTCAACATGTTACTCTGTAAGCTCATATATGGACATGTCAGACCATAAATACTGTTCTTGACAATCTTCATAGTTTTCTCCTAAGAATTACTCTATTGTTATATTTTGATTGTTTTTTGTTTTTTTTTTTTATCAACTTCCACAATGTTCAATTCCATAGTATGATCTGGGGATTTTCCCATTCCCTCAAATTTCTGTATCAACTTGCTTTTTCTAAAATCATCATCTGTAAGAGAAGGAAAGATATATGCATACCACCTGACCTCTCTCCATCTCTCATCCTCACTCTTTTGACTTTCACATTAGTGAAGGTGGGTTTGGGTTCCAGGCTTCTAACAGTAGTTGCTTTATTCTTGCCATATTAATAGGCAGAAATGGGCAGTGAATGTGATGAGTTAGTGCATTTTCCCTAATGCCAGCTTCATGAAGAGTCCGTATGCCTGCTCTAGCAGGTGAATTCTCTTTCATTTCTATGGTGCCCAAGTTTAGATGGAGCCTTACCTGCAAGGAGGAGGATCTCCTCGAGTATGAGTAGAGGAGGAACTTCATTTAGTCTTGGAGTAAGTGAATCTAGGATCAAAACCTAAGTGCCCTTGGACAAGTTACCATTGTTGAGCCCCACTTTCCTCCTTAAAAAAGGGCTTACTAATTCTTTCTATAGCATAATAGAAGGATTTTATGGGAATCTTTATTTTTTAGTATATGTAGGCTTGAGATATAAAATACACTTAAAATATCATCAACTGAATAAAATAGCTCATTTCTGTATTTACCGGCTACTCACCATAAACAAGATATGAAGTCTATGAAGAAAAAAATGCCACACATAAAGATCTTAGATTAACATTTAAGGCAAGTAAAGATATGAAAGTATTCTATGCCATTGAAAAACTACACACCTTAAAATAAGCAGATGGTTGCAAAGAACAAAAATGTTACTATGCAACAGTGGAACAAATAATGCCAAGAATCAGAAATTTTAAATGTCAAGAGTTTCATATCATGAAATACCAATGTGTAAGGAAAAGAGAAATAAATTCAGTGCACAAAGAAAATCTGAGAAAGGGAGAAAATAGAAACATCACTGGGGAAGTAATTATTAATTCTTTATATAAATAGGAAGAGCCTTACTGAAAGATGTAATTATATTATTGTAATTATATTACATCACTGTAAGTATACCACACTTATTTCATAATATTTACTTTGATAATTCTTACTGTCCAGGATCAGTATCAGATGAGCATTTTCCGAATACCACTCTGCCCACATGTGTAGGGGGCTAGGGGGTTTGGGCATAAGGCAGGGTCACTGACCATTAGCGCCTCATCACCTAGCTGAGGCAGCAAAATATGAATCAGATCAAGGCCAAGTAGAGCAAGATGCAGCGATGGAATAACAATACCAAAGTTAATAGGTAGAGGCTGTGAAACACTTATGAATTTGTAAAAGAAACCAGTATCAGGCAGGAGAGGAGATTTTCATAGGCAGGGATGATACTTTTTGTTCTCTGATTCCTCAAAGACTGAAAGGTATTGCAGGCAATAGCTAGCACTGCTGGGCTGAAGAATGACCACGGTGCCCCTGCATACCTGAGGGTGAGACACTTCACTGCCCCTCATTTCTGGAACAGTCCCCAAATAACATAACCTAACACTGGGCAGAGGAGGGATGCCACAGTACTGACAAGTTCTAAACCTAGTAAGGTCTTCTAACCACTTTCTTGTAGTTCTCATAACAATTTAAGGAATCATAGGAACCAAGGTACGACTAGAGCCACAGGATAAGATTATTACTTCTTCCCATTAGCAAAGGAAAAAAAAAAGCCACCAAAAAATAATGAGTGCTTCTATAGCAAAGGGACCGTGAGAAATAAGGCTTCGTGCTTCCTTCAATGACCTCAACTTGCTTGATTTGGACAAGCACATTCTAGGGACCTGAGAATATCAAAGCATTTTGGGGACTCTGGAGAATCACAGGGAATGGTAGAGGTGCCAGAAAACTGGAAGCAGGAAAATGCCATTGCTGTTTTTGAAAAAAGAAAGTAGACTCTCTTCACATCATAAACTAGAGAGCTAGACATAGATCTTAGGTGAGATTCTTAAAAGGATTTTATCCAAGAGATGATCTGTGAGAACCAGAAAGAGGCACACCAAAGACAAGTCATGTTAAGCTGTTCTAATTTCTGTCTTTGGCAGCGTAACCATGGAAATGTAGTGTGTCTAAACTCCAGTGAGGCATGTATATTAGAAGTCCCCCACGATATTATAATCATCAGAGAACTGGGGCTGGCAGAGGGCAACTGCTGACTCTCACAGCCTGAAAATGTCTGAAGGAAACATATCCTCCTACAAAGGTTTCTAATGTAATGCCGGAGAACTTTGTTCTTGACCCAATCCTAACCAAAAAGTTTAGCTATAATGTAAATAATACACAGGCATGCTCAAATTCTTCAATGACTATGAATACTGAATTAATCCATATAGTAAAATTAAAATACAGAAAACATTGCTATACTGCAATAATGAGCTACCTCTATGAGATAAAAACAACGGGAATAAATGCGGGGTCTTATATTGAGGTTAGCTTAGCAGCACCCTGGGGAAACGATCTAAGGACTTCAGGTCCAAGAGCAGAATGAGTGAACCATGCATGAGACAAAGCTGCTCCAAAGACAAGGTGATTTTATACTGTGTTGATATCAGTATTTAAGATGACAGGAAGAGGGGCACATGTTAGTGTACACCTCTCCTTCAGGCTCCTTGGGACATGTCCAGGTCCAGTTACAGACGGCACATTTGCAGAAAGAGACGCAAATGTATCCATTCAGGAGAGGATGAGTAGGATGGTAAAAGTATTCAGCCATTCTTACCAGGCACAGGAACAGGGACAAAATGAATGACAGCTCCTGCTCCGTAGGAGCTCAGACCTTAGTTGGGGGGGAGGAGGGCAGGCGCGCGGGAAGGGCAGCTAATAGAACAAGAAGAGTAAGTCTGATCTCAAGAAGAGAAGGACTATGCAGACAAGCAGACGTCTATAAACCTCTGAAGGACTGCTATTGACAAACAAGGTTAGACATTTTAGGTTATGATCCTAAGAGCTGGATCAAAAACTAATGGGTTTTGTGACAAACTTGTATTTGCCTTTATTATTACTGTCTTTACACTTTTAATCAAATCTGGCTAATGGTTATATTATTTTTAATCAAAATGAAGTTGAGCCACGAGAGGAAGCTCAGGACGGGCTTTCCTTTTGGAGCAAATATTCAAGTGTCTGAGGCAGACACTAAGATAAGACAACTTCTACACTCTGAATTGATGTGAGTGTTCCTCAGTTTTCGGAATGTTGTCTATCATTTCACAGCTATCTGTTAAAAGGCACCTGCAGGGCAGGAAGCTGTGCTTTTCCTGAAGGCATGATGGACACTGGAAATCTTAGTGCTGTTTCTCTGTCTGGCTGTACAAACCTGAGATGAGTTTGTGACCAACTCTTACAAGTGTCTTCTCATTTTATCCCAGGCTTTACTTACTAAATTTCCTCTTGCCCAGGTCTATTTTTAACATTCTGTTGAACTGTATTCTTTTGTGCCTTGTAAAAACACTTTTTGGAAGGCAGACTCTGTACTTTCACTGTAAACTTTATTGAAGACAAAGAAGCTTTTATGTGCAACTATTAGTATTTGTGTATGTGTGTGTATCTCAATCTTATAGTGAACTATCATTGAGTAATGGGAAATTTTTCTTCCCAAGGTTGCAGGCTAGATACATTCAAGAGTGAGTACTGAGGGGCGCCTGGGTGGCTCAGTCGTTAAGCGTCTGCCTTCGGCTCAGGTCATGATCCCAGGGTCCTGGGATCAAGCCCCATATCGGGCTCCCTGCTCGGCGGGAAGCCTGCTTCTCCTTCTCCCACTCCCCCTCTGCTTGTGTTCCCTCTTTTGCTGTGTTTCTCTCTGTCAAATAAATAAATAAAATCTTAAAAAAAAAAAAAAGAGTATTGAATCTTGAGAATGTAGATGTAATAAGTGCAGGGTATGGATGTAACATACAGCTATGCATGTACTATATATGGGCAAAGCCTATGACTCAATATCTATAATCACTTTTACCACAGATACTAATCCACAAAATTGTCTCTGTGCTAAATCTTTCTGGGATAGATCAACTACATACTGTATTTTCCTCTATTTACTCATTTCTACTCTCCTTACTGACAATTTTTGGCCAAAGTATACTAAGTATACTTTGTTTCATCTTATCCAGTGATATAAACTGGAGTCTATATATTTTTCTCTCCTCTTTTGCATTAGTATTTTGGACTATAACATACCTCATGACTTTTTTTTTTTTTTAAGATTTTACTTATTTGACAGAGAGAGACACAGTGAAAAAGGGATCACAAGCAGTGGGGAGTGGGAGAGGGAGAAGCAGGCTCCTGGCTGAGCAGGAAGCCTGACGTGGGACTCAATCCCAGGACCCTGGGATAATGACCTGAGCTGAAGGCAGACACTTAATGACTGAGCCACCCAGGTGCCCCTCTCATGACCTCATTTTGAACGCTCAGAAAATGCTACGATGATTGATGACAACCATTTCAAAACTGATAGGACAAATAATGATCCCTAAGAACAAATTAAGAAAAATAATAAAGGACAGAAAATAAGCATGATTATTTATTCAAACCAAGATATTAATAATACAGGATAATAAACATTTTGGAATAAGCATTAGATGAACAAAATACTGTAATAGTAAAAACAGAAAAAAAATCACTGAGTATCCTATGTAGTAAAGACAAGTTTCTTTGCTTTACTTATAATGAAACTGGAACTACAGAAGAATGAGGTACTGGGAAATCAGGAATATGCGTCAGAAGTTAAACACCTTCAGGACCATATGGAATCTATTCTAGAATTCTAAAAGGAGTACTAGATGAACTTTTCACAGTTAGAGTTTTAAAATATCCTAGAAGTAAGAACCATTTCTAAAATCTGCAACTCTTTAGGAAGCTTACAGATAGTTACATACTAAACTTCTAATCAGACAGTTCAACCAAAAAATTGAAACTTCTTGGCAAGAATTTGTTTAGAAGGGAGCTATATGCCAAACAGCACAGTAATTCTAGAGAATAAACTATATACAGCAGTTAAGTGTTTTGGCTTATGGATTTTACAATCAAAAGATCAGCGCAAGATAACCTGATATTTAAAAAAAGGCAAAAGGTGTAAACAGAGCTTTCAGAGAAGAGGAAATCTAGGTGGCCAAAAATAAGGTGCTCAAACTCATTAGTAACTAGAAAAATACAAATTCATACTACAGTGAGAAATCAATAAACAACCCCCAGAATGACAAAACATTTATCAATACCAAATTCTGGTGAAGAGGTAGAACAATAGTAAATATCGCAGGCTGCTGATCAGTATATAAAGGAGCCATCACTTGGGAATACATTTTGGCACCTATCTAGTCGAGCTGCTGACACATATATTCCATAGCCCAGTAATTCCATTCCTGATTATATAGAGATATTCTTGCACACAAACACTGGAGAGCCATGTAAGTCAGGTCATGGCAGCCTCTATGGAAGCTCTGAATTGTAAACAACCTGAATGACAATAGTGAAATGGGTAAATACATTGTGGTATAGTCATGCACTGTGTTTCATCTATAACAACAAGTGAACAACAGCACTATACAACAAGAATGACTCTCACAAGTACACTGTTGAATAAAAGAAGTCACAAAAGAATACAAACAGTAGAATTCCATTTAGGTAAAGTTTAAAAAATAGGCAAGATAAAACTGTTTATTAAGGATGCATTTGTAGGAAATGACTATCAAAGTCAAAGGAGTGGTTACTTCTGCAAGGAAGATGCAGACTGTGATTTTAGAGGGGACATTAAGAACTTTTGGAGTGCTGGACTGGCATGGGCAATTATTAATGGACGTTTTAGCTTTTTAATGTTTTTTAGCTGTATATACATTTTATGAGCTTTTCTATAGTTTTTTTCATGAAAAAGGGAAAATACTAATATAGCAAAACAAACTTATACGATAAATTCTTATTAGATGTGATCTGTAAATAGAAAAATTTAGAGTATTTTTTTTTTTTTAAAGATTTTATTTATTTATTTGACAGAGAGAGAGATAGTGAGAGCAGGAACACAAGCAGGGGGAGTGGGAGAGGGAGAAGCAGGCTTCCCGCCGAGCAGGGAGCCCGATGTGGGACTCGATCCCAGGACCCTGGGATCATGACCTGAGCCGAAGGCAGACGCTTAACAACTGAGCCACCCAGGCGCCCAAAATTTAGAGTATTTATAAATAGAATGCAATAGTGGGTAACAGCTCAAATACTAAAGACTATCCATTTTTAAGAGAACTGATCTACTTCTGGTTATGAAACTACACTAAAAAAACGACACTAAATTTTATAACTCATAAATGTCTTGAAGGTATTTATTTCAATAAAAAAAAGGGGCTTACACTACAAAATAAAATGTCTGCAACCCCATATACCATTCACTAATAATTTTTGAAAATAAAACACGTAGTTAATACATAACATCAGGTTCAACAGTGCTCACACCTCCAGGCAGCAGTTCACATTGTGTTCTATATGAATGACGCTCCCTGGAGTGTGCAGAGTGTGGACACGGTTCCTGTAACACAGATAAACATTGAAAAACTGTTAATAAAACCAAGAAGTATCTTATTTGTTATGGACAGCTAAGAAGGAAAAATGGAAATTTCTTTTTGGAAAATCCTACAGGTTCACCTTGTAGGATTTGGGATCTGTTACACAGATGAGGAAAAAGAAGAAGCCTGGAATGTTAAGGGCTGATAAAAAGGTTGATAAAAAGATGGGGGTAATCAAAAGGCTAAGAATGTAATTAAAGCTGAGGGGTGATGACTGGATCAAAAGGCATGATGAGCATACATTTCCACTCTTTTCCAACTCAAAACACCATGAAATGACAGAAAAGGCCTTTTTCTTTTTTAAAATAAGAAAATTAGTGTAGAAATTTTAAAAATGACACCAGTGTGCTAAAAAGTCAGAAAAATAATGACTATAAACCTATGGCAAAATACCAGAGGGAACCATAGCACCAAACAGAGGAGGAACTGCTTTGGAGCAGGTTGGGGTGGGGGTGGTGGGCAGGTTGTACACTTAGGCTACTCAGATACCAGATCCTAGGTTCTTAGGTCAGGGTCAAGATCAGATGATCAAGGGTAGAGCTAGTGCAGCAGGGTGGTCTGCCCTTGTCCTGGACATGCTCAAACAGTTGCCAAGGTCAAAGGAGGAGTTGATCCAGACAGAGCAGAGCCTCAGTCAGCTACTGATGCCCAGAAGGGACCAATTCCCTAAAGAGGAAAAGCAAAGTGAAGTATGTAGAAATAACATTTAATGAAGCTTTACTTACTTACTTACTTATTTATATAGGGGTGGGAGGCAGCAGAAGAGGGAGAGAGAGAGAATCTTAAGCAGGCTCCACACCCGGACTTAATCTCACAATTCTGAGATCATGACCTGAGCTGAAATCAAGAGCGGGACGCTTACCTGAGCCACCCAGGCACGCCTGAATGAAGCTGTTTTTAAATTGAAAGCTGTGTACATGAAGGAGAAACAGCCAGAGACCTTGAAATAAAGTTATAGGATAAAAATAAAAATCTCAATCAATGGAATAAAGAGAACAATTTTTTTTTTCAAAATTTAGGGGCGCATGGGTGGCTCAGTCAGTTAGGTGTGGGACTCTTGGTTTCAGCTCAGGTTGTGATCTCAGGGTCATGAGATCAAGCCGCGAGTGGAGTACGCTTGAGTTTCTCTCACCCTCTCCCCTCCTCCACCAAGCATGTGTAGGTACGTGTGCACTCTCTCTCTCTCTCTAAAATAAATAACTCTCTCTCTCTCTTTTTTAAGAGTATTTCATAAGAAGGGCACCTGATTGGCTCAGTCTGTAGAGCATGCGACTCTTGATCTTGGGATTGTGAATTGAGTCCCAAAGTGGATGTAAAGATTACTTAAAAACAAAATGTCTTGCATAAGAATGATCTAAATCATTCAGAAACTTAAAAAAGAAAAAAAGATGAAAAAGATAAAGGAAGTTTGGAGACTAGAGACTAGTTCAGGGTTATGCTTATTTACCAGTAATAGTACTAGGAAGAAAGAAAAAAAGAAGAGAAATACTAAAAGAAATAAAAATTTCTCAGAGCCCATTTAAAATGGGCTAATAAATGAACAAAATGAATGAAATGAACTATATCTAGACACAATCCACTGAAATATCTGGTTCCAGGGAAAAAGAAAAGATTGTACATGTTACCATGGAGGAAAAACAAACTGCTTACAAATGAATTAGAGTCCGTTTGGCATCAGAGCTCTTATCAACTACAGAGGAAGTAGCAATAGCTTCTGGTACTGACCAAAAACTATGATTCAAATATGAACACAACATAAGAGCATGTTAAGACATACCAGGACTCAGGAGAGTTTGTCTTCCACAATCTTTAAAGGAAGTTCTGCAACCAAATAACATACGACAGAAGAAGGATTAGGACACAATAAACAGTGCTAAGCAAATAATTCAGACAACTGAAAATTAAAGTCTAAATAAACTGCTCATGATATCAACATGAGAGGGGTGAGAAGCTGAAGAAAATAAAATTGTCCTGATGTTCTAATTTAACCTAGTGGGAAGAAATACATACAGAGTAACTACAGGTGAGCAGTGCCTTTGCTGGTCCCCTCAGGAAGAGGCAGAACCCACTGCTCACCCCTTGAATGTGGGGCTGGCCTCTTGGGACTCACAAAATGTGGCCAATGTAGATCGTGTGCAACACTTGAGGCTAGGTTTAAGAGGCCTAGAGCTTCTTCTTCTTCTTCTGGAATCCTGAAATCACTATGCTATGAAAGAGCTCAGGATTAAAAGATGCCATGAAGACAGAGGCTCAGTACTCCCAGCCACTCTGGCCAATACCTCAAATTATGTAAGACAGGCCATCTTAGAAAGTCCTGCCCTGACCAAGTATCCAGCTTACTGGAGCCACCTGAGTGAGCCCAGGCAAGACCAGCAGAAGAACCTCCTTACCAACCAAGATTTGTGTGAAATTTCAAAACCATTGTTTGAGTCACTGAGATTTAAGAGGACTTGCTACATGATAGGCAAGTGAAACTAATACAACCACTAATGAGGATAGGGAAAAAAAATTAACTTGTATTATTTTTAAGAATCATAAGATTAAAAAATTAAATTTTTCATGCTGAATTATAAAGATATAATTTATTTAAAGCATTATTGATCTTCCACTTGTTACATACTACACTATAAACTAGATGTTATCGAGAGTATAATGATGAATAAGACCTTGGCCTCCAATCCAATTTACAGTCTAAAGGGACTATCTAAAGGGAAGACAAATAAAAAAGCAACTACAATAAAATGCAGCTTGAGATAAACAAGGCAGTAAGAGCTCAAACATGGAAGGCAGATGCTCAAAGAGGGGTTTCAAAAGATATGAATAAATGGGGATGCTATTCCAGGTGCAGCAGAAGGACCCAGGTGGAGGAAAGCCCACCTATAATGTATTAATTAATTTTATTAAGCTTTTACATTTAAAAATTTGCTTTAGGTTCAATAGATTACTCAAAAACCTCCCTAGACTATTGTTTCATATCATTTGCAATTAAGAATATCTAAGCCATATCAAATCTCAAGCTGTTTAAATAAAAGATTTGTTTTTATCATTAGTTTTTCATATCAAATGCTAGTGTTAACAAAGATTAAAAACTAATGAAATCACTAACACAGCACATATGGGGATTTTGAAATATGGTAATTTATAAGTGAATTACTAGAGGCAATAAAAATAATGTAAAATTGTTTAATTAAGGACTTGGGTATTTAATAATATTTATAAGGTCTATTAAAGATAAAAAGTATACAACCTAGTAACAAAGTAACCACCTTCTATCTTATGCAGTGGCTGTCTTTTTAGTTCACTATATTGATTTTTCTTTTTACATGGACTAGCTAAATGATTTTTCAGTGTCTTGGGATTTATACTAAACTGTCTAGCTGATAATAACCTAGATCTGTATTAGATTTCTTAGAAGTTCTGCATTAGACTTCTATTTAAATTATGCATTCATTTGTCATTTGAAAAAGTCCATTTAAAATTTAAAATTCTCAAAGTATGCTCCATAAACGACTTCTAGTTCGTCAAAAACAAGGTTCCTGTGATTAGTACATCTGGGAAATACTACAGAGCCTGTTTCCTCTTGAAAATCCCTAAAAACCTTGTTTTCTTTTTTTAATTTTAATTAATAATTTATTTATTATTTTTTAAATTTTATTTTATTATGTTATGTTAATCACCATACATTACATCATTAGTTTTTGATGTAGTGTCCCATGATTCATTGTTTGCGTATGACACCCAGTGCTCCATTCAATATGTGCCCTCTTTAATACCCATCTAATGGGTGTTCTGTGGACCAGTTACACTGGCAGCACTTTAGAACTTGTAAGAAATGCAGAATTTTCAGGCCCCACCCAAGACCTACTGGATCAGAATCTTCATGTGAATAAGATCCATATTGTACACACCTTCAAGTTTAAGAAGCAGCAATATAGAGCATTTTAAAAACTTTGCGAAATCTTAAAGTCAATGAACCTGTTTAATCACATCTTACTCAGTATTGCACACTTATTTGACCCCTACGCTTTTTGAGGGTCACCTAGTACCATTTTGAGGAACGTACTTTGAGAACTTCCACAATATAATAATCATTATTATTAATGAGCAAATGTAGCCAGAAAGAGGAATTGCTCCATCCTTTATAATTAAAATTGGGCTCTCCCCAGCTTTTCCAGTGATGTCAGTTTATTAAAAGAAAAACATTAATTAAGTACTTTTAAGAAAATGGGAAAGAAAAATTTAAGCTCTTTTCAATAAAGATTCCTGCCAACAAAATTAAGCATGAAATTGTGTTTTGGCTGTAAGTTGGGTACCAATTTCTTGGAAAACTTAATTTCTAAATTAAGGAATAAATGATTTTCCAGAAAAAGAACCTGGCCTACTCCAGGCCAGGTGTGAGTTTTAATTATATTTTTCATGCTCGCCTCATGAACACTCATGTGGAAAAAGACTAGGTATATATAATGCATACTGGTGCTTTGGTTGGAAAGATCAACTCTCCATCTGGGCTATAACAATTTGCTTAAAAGGTGTCTAGTTTGGGACAGATGTTAATCTATAAGATGTCTTACTGAAAGTACAGGTGAAAAAGAAAAGTTGACAGTTTTGAATTAGAGTATCATCAAAAATACTGATTTTATACATGTTTAAAGTCACTTTTAATAATGCTGATTTAGGGGCACCTGGGTGGCTCAGTCTGTTAAACATCTGCCTTTGACTCAGCAGGGAGTCTGATTCTCCTTCTCTCTCTGCCCCACCCCTCGCTCGTGCTTTCTCTCTCTCTCTCTCTCAAATAAAATCTTAAAAAAAAAATAATAATGCTGATTTAAGCAATGATGCATCTAACGATTTCCAATTTCATTACAGTTCTTTAGTGTAAAAGGGAAAATTTTAGGCATCAAAAATAAAGTACAGGAGATTAATAAATGTATTAAGAATCCTTTCTTTCTGTTCCCGTTTTCAG